AGTGGGGAACAGAACAGGCAGACTGACTGGAATACACTGCTGAGGGGAGCAGCGGGGGAGACAGGAGAGGTCTGCTACGTCATGTGGTTTCTCCCAGGTGGGCCGGGATCCAGCTAGTGCTGCAGAGGCTGCGGATTGCTTCATAGTGTGGTGCTTAACCCTTTGCGCCACCAGGGAGGCCCAGACCTCTCTCTTGATCAAAAAACATCAGTGACTCTTCCCTCATGACAGAAAAAATTGTTCAAACTCCTCACTCTGGCATTCAATGCCCTCCATTCAGCTTCAGCCAAACTTTCTAAAGTTATCTTCTAGTAGTCTACACTTAATCTTCTACTCTAACTAAACTGATACACTCAGACTTCATTTATTAACATCTTTGATCCCTTTCTTCCCCCCACCCTTTCTTATCTTTTTTTTTAAGATTTATTTATTATTTATTTATACAAGCACTGGGTACAGTCAGAAGCGCAGGAGGGTGAGAGAATTCACCAGAGCCAGAGCGGGGAGCCGAACAGGCAGATTCACAAAGTACACTGCTGAGGGGAGCAGCGGGAGGCAGGAGAGGTCTACGCGCCATGTGGGACCCTCGCCCGGCAGCCAGGAATTGAACCAGTGATGCAAAGGCTGCAGGCAGCCTGGCAACCCAGTACTCAACCACTGCACCACCGGGAGGCCCACCCTTTCTTATCTTTAGGAAAACTATTCCAAATAATTAACATTTACCCCTCTGCTACTCACTTTTAATAAGTGCTTTGAAATTCTATTTTATATCACTCATTTAACATTTAATGCATACTATCTTACATAATCTTTTTAAAATGTAAAATATCATAAATGTTTATAAATAAATCCAAACCAGATTACAAATTTTTCAAGGGCAGAACAAAACACTAGGCTTCTTTATAGTTTCACAGCTTCTAGTGCAGTATTTTACATAAAGGAAATAAAAGTAATGGCCCAATTATTTAAATATTATTAAGTGATTAGGCAGAAATAAACTTAAGATTTTATGTATATATCCAAAGGTATTAAAATAAAGTTCTAAATATCTGTAAAATAACTTTGTTCTCAGAGCTGTCTCCTGTTCCTAGACCTCCAATGAAATTCATTTAATATTTTTGAAATTCTATATCTTCTATGTCCAAAAACAACCTATTTTGTTAGAAAAATTAGAAAGATGGATAGATGGGAAGAGAGGTAAATGGATGGATAAATGGATGGATGGGTGGATGATTGTCAGAGAAAGAGTTGAAAATATAAAAAGAGTACTTATTAGATAATTAGAAAGTACCAGCACTGTGCTGAGCACTACTATATATTTTATTTCATTTGGCTCTCAGAACAACTCTAGGAATTAGATAATGTCATCCTTGTGTTACAGATAAGGAAACCAAAGCACAAAAATGCCCATTTAAAAAAAAATTAAAACTTGCCTTAAGTCATCTCTAATAAGTACAGAAGGCAGAGTTTGAACTCAGGTGGTCTAACTCCAGGGCAAATGCAATTAAAATTAAAGCTAACAGTAAAATTAAATGAAGGAAATTAGTAACTATTTTCAATTACCTCATGAATTTTCTTCACTAATTTATATACTTTTCATAGGATTTTATTTTTAATACTCCAATTAAATATACAATAATATCGAGTTTGAAATACTCATTTCAAGATACTCATTTAACACAAGTGTAGTCAAAGACTTTGCTATCTATACTTTTTCTTTCCTTTCTGCTTCCAGCATTAGAGATATTAATAGCCAACAAACATAAAGAAGGAGAGAGATAGACAGAGAAGGGAGAAAAGTAGGCATCTCTCCAACCAATCCCTTGACTCTCATTCTCATCACATTGACAAAAAATTGGATACAAAAGTAGTTTGAGCTACTAGTACACAAGGTTTAGAGATTCAATTTAATTTTTATACAATAATTTTTTCAACAACTATTTGTTGGTTCTTAATTTTGTATTGCCCATAGCATGATTTTTAGATTTACTCAAGATAATCAACATCTAACTATATTCTTATACAGAAAATGAGACAAAATAAGGATGTGACTGTCCATTTATTTCCAAGTCCAGACAACCGAAGTCCATGGTAGTTATTCAGATCGAATTTCTACCTCCCAGCCCCCACCCAAGAAGCTACATCAGGAGCATGAGATAAAACTATAATTCCCTCACTGTAAAAGCAGGTGTTGAGGACACTCTGGAGAAACTTGTGCAGTAGGTATATAGCGCACCACCTGTCTAGAATTCATTGCAGGAAATGCAGAGTAATGTAGATATCCCCTAAAAATCTGACTACCATAGAGTATTCCATATACAAGAAAAGTCACACACAAGGGCACATATTTTTATAAATTGTAATTGTCTGTGAAAACTAAAGAAAGGTTTTCACTGCCAACCCAAATTACCACATTTTTAAATACACCAAATTGTCTAGTTTCACAAATAACCAATGTGCTGCTAGCTTGTATTCCCCACACCTAACCTACACCACCTCC